CTGATGATTATTTTTTTAATTTTTTTATGTTTTTATTTATTTATTGTTTTATTTATTTTTTGAAGGAGAGACAGAGCATGAGCAGGGGAGGAGCAGAGAGAGAGGGAGACATAGAATTTGAAGCAGGCTCCAGGCTCTAAGCTGTCAGCACAGAGCCCGACGCGGGGCTTGAACTCACGAACTGCGAGCTCATGACCTGAGCTGAAGTCGGACGCTTAACCAACTGAGCCACCCAGGCGCCCCATTTACCTGATGATTATTACTAAAATGCTGAAAAGCCTGCCATAAATAGAATTTATATTAGAGAAAGATTATATACATTAAAATGCAGAGTAGATACCACATTTCATTTTTAAGTGGATAGCTTGTATTTTGTTAGTCAAAAGAAAATTGGGAAGGGAAAACCCTTGCAGGCACTTTTTATAGTCTTGTTGTTTGTTGCAGAGAAGAGTTTGAGCGAGAGCCAAAGATTTACTGACCAGTGACTTAAAAGCCCAGGCTCTCTTAGATGATTGGAATCTGATTCAGTTACCTTTCAACCGTGTGACTTAGAGCAAGTCACCTGGCCTTTCCAAGCCTTGAAATTTTATTTTGTTGTATGTGTGTGCTGCCAATAAAACAGGAATAATGTACCTATTTTATAGAATTACTGTAAAGATTAGTCAATTTATATAAAATAATTGTAACAGCATCTGGTGCATAACAAGCAGTCAGTGAATAATCGTTAGCTGTTCTTATGGCAACATTGTTGTTTGGATCCATGATTTCCTCACCTCTACCACAAAAGTCCTTAGTAACTTTTCACAAACCTGTGTGCAAGTGATTAAACCGAATGTCAGCGAGTTTACTTTTGCTTAACTTTGTGTTGGTTTTGGCAAGGTCAGGGACCTAACATTAGAAGACCATCTGTGTGGAAGGACACAGCTTTTGCTAATAACTGCTGGTCTCTCCCTTGGATTTTGCAAAATATGACCAGGATACCCACAATTTGCCACATTCAGCTAAAGTGTGATTTAGAGTCAGCAAAAGATCATTTATTATAAGCTTCTGATTTAAGATCCTGTAGGATGTGGAAGACCTCAGGAGTGACTTCATTGCATGGCAATGATAGACAGTTTGACTTGTTGGTTAATGAATTCTCTGACTCATAAAGGATGTATTATTTTATCATGGCACAGACTTTGCTGGATGGTTTTCCTTAAAGGTATTTGTCAAAACCAGAATCAGAACATATGAAAGTGAGTGAGTCACAAAGATACAGTACCACTATTAGAATAAAACAAAGGTCTTGGAAAGAGCAAGTCACTAATACTAATGACATCATGGATGTATCTCAAATGCATTTTGAGAAGTGGAAGAAGCAAGACTCAAAAGGCACATACTGTGTGATTCCATTTATACAACCTTCTGGAAAAGGACAGATCTAATTATTAACAGGAGCAGGTAATAGGAGAGGGGTGGGACCGACTATAGAGACTTAAGTTTTGGTGGAAATGTTCTTTATCTTCATTGTGGTAGTGATATGATTATATTAATCATTTGTCAAAACACTTAGAACTATCCACCAAAAAAAAGGGTGAACCTTACTACTGTAAGTCATATATCAATAAATCTGGCTTACAAAAACACAAATGCCTTATAGTATTGATGCAGGTCAGTATTTCTTTTGAGTATGTTGAATATACATTTATCTTCCTCTGAAATGTTGATATATTTCTTATATATTCACTACATATTTGTGTTCTCTTATTATAGGTTTGGGAGTCACATTTTCAGCTCATTATTTTCTCCTCTATAAGTAGTAATTGTTTAAAAATTACTTGAGACTTTTTCAGTCGTGCAGAATATACCCCATGTTTCATAGTATTTCAGTTTTTCATATTAATGAGGATGCTTCTAACACAAATAACACCAGTAACGCTCAACCTGGCTTAAATAATAAGGAAGTTTATTAACTTCATCTCTGTGGTTATGGGGTGGCTGCCCATAGCACTCAAGTCTACAGGTACCCTTATTTACATGGAGCATGGAAGAGAAATTTCTTTTTCTATGGCTCTTCCTTAAGAGTAGAAAGTCCTAGTGCATATTCCCTCATGTCTCATTGGTTCTTGAACCAATCACTGTATATTCTTGATTATTACACCAGTTCAGACCCACCTTTTGATCTGGGGAATGAGGATAGTTTCTCCAAAGGGAAGGCCACCTAGTAGTAAGGTAGATATACTAACCAAATCTGGATATCATTAAGAAATAGAGGGAAAAGATGTCAAACAGACAGACAACAATGCTAGTACTTTACCCTGAATTGATCGTTTAACCAAAACCTTGGCTAGCTGCGGGATTTAATGACAATATAGTTTTTATTTCAGTATTTTTGAGACCACAAATTATTTTAACAGTATTATGTTACTTTACCTAAAGCCTTCACATAAAAATACTTCATTTCAGTGCTACTGTAATAAGCAACATGGTAACCTCATATGTTGAACACGATGAAGCATGCTATACAGTATAATAGCATTTTATACACAGTTTTAAATGTAGCCTTTACACAAACTAGGCACTGGTTTGAAATATGCTTTGTTCTCCTTTGGTGCAGAGTTATTACTAAACCTTTACTATGCTTCGTACTTGCCTACAATGAAAAGGGTACTTCAGCAAAGTAGCTAGGTAGAAATTTCTCAACAAACAGATGTATAAAATAGAAAATGAGTTCTAATAGGACCAAGTTCAAGAGCTCTGGGTAGTTGAAGAAGGCTCCATGGACAAGGAATAAAAATTCAGCAGCCCATCCCCCCAAAAAAAGTATGTCTTCAATACTGAGAGAGATAAAGCAAGAATATATGCCATGCAGAGAGGATGGAAAGAAAAAAGGTTTGGGAATGACCATGGACACATTTGGATAATGGTGGGTTAGATTCATGTGTTTGGAGGGAAGGGTGCCTGCAAAGATACAATGGGAAAGAAGTCTGAGACAATGAGTAGAGATGAGATTTGAACAGCCCTGAATTATACATAGTCTGGCTGTTATCCCACTGGTGAAAGGAGGACTGTTGGGGCACCTGGGTGACTCATTCGGTTAAGTGTCCGACTTTGGCTTAGGTCATGATCTCATGTCTCGTGGGTTTGAGCCCCATATCAGGCTCTGTGCTGACAGCTCAGAACCTGGAGCCTGCTTCAGATTCTGTGTCTTCCTCTCTCTGCCCCTCCCCACTCACACACGTGTGCTCTCTCCTCCCTCTCAAAAATAAATAAACATTTTAAAAAATTTAAAAAAAGAAAGGAGGGCTGTTAAACGTTTTCTTTCTATGGAAAGTAGAATGATCTTGGCAAAGCAGAGTTGGAAAGATTGCTTATACAACCGCATACAAGGTGTGTTAGAGCCAAAAAGTAGTAGAATCACATCAAAATGGGAGTTCTTGATTAGCCTGGGTTTGAGATACTGTATGAGCAAAACCAGGCGGCAGTGATGAGAATTAAAGGGATGGTTGCTAAAGACATAGTATGAGTAGACATTCGTAGCCAGCTGGATTTTATGGCAGGGAGCTACGTTTACAGTGATTCAAGGTACCAAAGGCAGATGACTGGAAAAGGATGGAACCATTGCCAGGCTGGTAAAGTTCCAGTGGGGTGGAGTTGGGAGGTGATAGGATAGAGGCTTTCCTGAAAAAATGAGTTTGGTCTTACATTGACAGCATGTCAGAGTGGTAATAAATGTCCAACAATAGGAATGTGTGATTGCTACTCATTCATTTATTCAGCAATATTTTATCAAACGCCAGTATTTTATTGAAGCACTGTATTAGACAGGAGGGTTACCAAGTTACCGAGAAAAAAAGTGTTCCCATTCTCACAGAACTAGCAAAGCTCTACAAATACATTTAGGGGCCAAGTAAACATACACTGAGGAAATAATAAAATGTTTGTTTTTAATTTAATATAATATGGGTAGAGAGAGGAGGAGGGCATAGATGAAACAATATTAACAATGAGTTGATAGTTACTGAATCTCATTGATAGATATTTGCTGGTTCATTTTACTCTTTACTCATATATGATTGAAATTTTTCCTAATGTTTTTTTTTAAAAAGGCAAAAAGTTAGATGCATAGAGCTAATAATTAGACAAATTATCTGAAAGAGTGTTGAAATCATTTCTGAAGAGTAGCCTGAGAGAGACAGGGAGAAAATGAGCCAAATTTAGTGTCTGAGAAACATAAAAGGTGTTTCAAGGGCAAAATAGATGATACTGTTGATTTTGACAGAAGCTAAAGAAGTCGTTATAGGTTAAATCTAGCAGAATGCTTATTTTTAATTTTGTTCATTTCTGGTTGGGTGGTCCTTCATGGCTGAAAGGAATTGGGTAGCTGAGAAGCTTGAGAAAACTGTTTTGACCATTTGATAAGGTGTTTATTACTTGAAAAGTCTTGTCTAAGTTTTATTTCCTAATATGTGGATATCTATTCTATTTTTAGGAAACTAATGAACAAAAACTTCACAAAATAGCCAACGAACTTTTGCTTACAGAAAGAGCTTATGTCAACCGACTTGACCTCTTAGATAAGGTAATATTTTCCCATTCAGGATTATTTTATTTTTTGGCATTATATATCATTTTTAGTAAAGGGGCTTTAGAAACTACTGGATGGGCATAACTGTTTTTTTGCCAGTGAAAGCTTTTTCTTCAAGGAAATCTTTAGGATTTTTAGCTTTGTCAGTGAATGCACTAGACATAAAGGTTTTTCAGTTCATAAAAAGCAGATTCAAGGACTCTCTGTATGAGTCACAAAATGCCTTTATCTTTCATCCCTAAACACTAGTCTGTTTCGTGACCATTTATTATGATCCTAAAGCCATGTTCCCATTATAATCTAAATAAGAGATTGGTGATTCTAATGCCTGCATGAATATGTCATTGATTCTGTTTGTCTCATGTGCTGTTCAGACCCATGTGAGTCATCTGAATTGATGGAGTAATAGGGCCAGAAGGCATTTTGAGCGTTCACTTGTTCAAGCTTGTAGGAGACATCTAATATAGTGCCTGGCGTAAAGTTGCACAGTCAATATTTGTTAGAAATGGCATTCAGAGTACTTTATCACATTTTGTACTTTCGTCATGTTGGGGCCTTGAGTATCATTTTAAATATACATTACAAAGAATCGCTTAAAAATTATTAAGGCTTCTTAATATTGTTTTAGTGATAAAAGAACAAGATAACTGGTAAATTGCTCATATAGACCCCTCTTATTAGAAGAGAAAGTTGCCATGTTTGAGTACTAACTATAAGAAGAATTATCTCACTTCTGTCATTGGAAAACTGGAACTTCATGGGAACAGGCCATCCTGGGTATGCCTCCTTATCATTGGTTCCTAGAGTGGACTATGGCCCCGTCAGATGAGCCTTAAGGGGCCACATTAAGGCTTCTGTCCTTTGAAATAATGAGTTTGTGTCTTAAACACTCACTTTCCAAAGAATTTCACTGTAAGTCAGTCAATTCATGTGTTTGTATGTTTGAAACAATTTCCCCTCAGGGGAATACAGACCAGAAACGTTAAGTATTCCTATTGTGGAGACATGTCTTTTCCTCTTACAAGTTTTGTGTTTTTTTTGTCTTCGTTCTTTTTTGTTATTTTAGCCATATTAGCTTGTCAGCTACTGTTGCTGACCTTTTTAGAATTTTAGAGTCTTAATTACTTAAAATATCCTATCTGTTGGAGTCTCTAAGGACAGGATTTTGTGTTCTTTTTGCCTCCCAAGAAAATGCAGTGGAGGTGAATTTAGAAAATTAACAACCATCTGGACATTTGAAGGAACAGACTTCCTTCTGCCTACATTTAACAGAATGGCAATTAAGAGGTATAGTAGCCATAGTGTAGAATAGCTAAGAGTGCAGTTTTTTAAAAAGTATCTTTAAGATACCATTGTTATGTACAGGAGAAGATCTTTGTACCCTTTTATAAGTGTTTAAGTTATCTTGCATTATTACTTACTAAAAAGCAAGTAAACATCTGTGAACTGAAATATTCTTTTATTCATCCACTGGCCAGATATTAAGCACCTGTTCTTCTGTGGGAACTAAATTATGATGGCCTCCCTTCCCAAGGGGGCAGACAGTTTTAATAGGGAAGGTGAGATTTAGGCCCACAAATTACAATAAAGGACAATACTGTCAAAGTCATTCAAAACATAAAGAAGAGTGAAAAATACCACCAAAAATTATTAATTTAGATAAAATTTTCCTTCCATGTCTAACTCTACTTATAGATAGAAGTAAATCCTTTTACCTCAATTGGAAATTTTCTGGCGTAGAAGAGGTTAATATCTCCAAAACGGAGGGAGAGCCTAAGTTAGAGTCAACTTTTCTAATTCTAACTCCTGGTTCTTCTCAATCAAAGCATATACTCATCCATTTCAAAAATGATTGATTTCTTGATTCATGAACTTTTTCATTCAATAAGTTACTAAGAGCCCACTATGCCTAGCCCAGTGCTAGGTGGTTAACCAGTAAATTTGAAGTAACGTTTGCTTTATTCTCTTATTCAGGTATTTTACTGCAAATTATTGGAAGAAGCAAATCGAGGCTCATTTTCAGCAGAGATGGTGAATAAAATCTTTTCTAATATTTCATCAATAAATGTCTTCCATAGTAAATTCCTATTGCCAGAGCTGGAAAAACGAATGCAAGAATGGTAAGAGGAATAGATGGCCAACGATTTGTCCAAGGCAGTCATATTAGATGCTGTGTTATTTGCTTATAAATGGAAACAACAATGCTACACAGAGCTATAGCCAAACATCTGTGTTAAATTTGTATGGTAAAGAAGTTGTGGTACATTTTTAGCTTTGGTTTAAAAGGATTTCATCTCTGCTCTCTAAACTATCTTTTGATTAGTGGAGACAAGATTCCAGGGTAATCTGGAGCTTTAAAAACTCCATAGTTTTTCATTCCTAAAGTCCCTTTAAAAAGGTCCTGCTTCAGGGACGCCTGGGTGGCTCAGTCGGTTAAGCGTCCAACTTTGGCTCAGGTCATGATCTCACAGTTCGTGAGTTCAAGCCCCACATTGGGCTCTGTGCTGACAGCTCAGAGTGTGGAGCCCCCTTCAGATTCTGTCTCCATCTTTCTCTCCTCCTCCCCCACTCGTGCTCTTTCTCTCAAAAATAAACTTAAAAAAAAAAAGGCGCTGCTTTATTCTCTACCAATCTCATAGCAAGGTGGATCTGATCAAGCAAAGAATGTGTATACACAGTGATCACTTCATTTGAAGTCCTATTAATTCACTTACTCTATAAGAAATCTTAATGACTTGTTTCTGTATTTTATACAGGGAAACTACCCCTAGAATTGGTGACATCCTTCAGAAATTGGCACCATTCCTTAAGATGTATGGAGAATATGTGAAAGGATTTGATAATGCAATGGAATTGGTTAAAAACATGACAGAGCGTATCCCCCAGTTCAAATCAGTAGTTGAAGAAATTCAGGTAATTGGACTCTTGTTCAAGGCTATGAATTATTTTCCTATACAAATCATAAGGTCTTCTAGATCTAAAGTTTAGTTTGAGACATCTGTCTGAGACCACCAAATTCCATGTTATTCTGAATGATGTAAAAATCATCTATGCAGAATTAATGTATTTATCGAGCACATGCCATGCGCTGAGCAGTAAATTCTCCATTTGCTTTTGAGACCAGGAGAGTAAAGCTTTTATAAAGATTCACATGGATTTACAAAGTGATTTCCCATTCGGGTCTGTGACTCTCTTGCTTTCTTTCAGAGGTTAAGATGATGCAATGAATATAAAAAATGATTGCCATAAACCTGACATTTTGCAGACATTATTATTCTGTGTGTGTGTGTGTGTGTGTGTGTGTGTGTGTGTGTATGCATGTGACTTTACATATGTGTCCTGACTTTTTTTCAGTTGTGCCAAACCTGGATAACATATTTTAGATAACTCCATAGTGATTTCTATTTGATTCTCTAGTCAAAGGTGTTAATAACTTGATAGTTTAAATGTTGAAAAGGAATTCTTGAGATCACATAAGGTCCTTGGGGTGAGGATTCTGCTGCTCTTTCTCTGCTTTCTTTTGTGCTATACAAATATTTTTATTTACCATTTTAATTCCTCTAAATTTTAAATGTTTTTTTCCTACTGTTTGTTGGAGGAATTATAATATGCATCTTAATTTACCACAATCTACTTCAGGTTAATGCTAATATTAATTCTAATAAAATACAGGCATTTTGCTCCATCGTAGCTCAGTTCCTCCATGCTCCATGCTTTTAGTATCATATACATTACCTTTATATAGGTTTTAAATTCAATAATACAGTGATATAATTATTATTTTGTATAATTTTGTATCTTTGAAAGAAGAGAGGATATAAGAAAAAATGTACCAAAAAAAATTATTAACCCATATATTTACCATTTCTAGAGTAAGTTCCTTTCTACAAAGGGTGTTAAATATTTTAGGTTACGTGGGTGGCTCAGTCAGTTAAGCATCCAACTTCGGCTCAGGTCATGATCTCATGGTTTGTGAGTTTGAGCCCCATATCGGGTTCTGTGCTGACAACTCAGAGCCTGGGCCTGCTTTGGATTCACTGTGCCTCCCCCCCCCCCCACTGCTCACACACACACTCTCTGTATCTCAAAAATAAATAAACTTTAAAAATTTTAAAAGAAAAGTGATAAATGTTTCTTACAAGTAAAGTTGGATACAAATTTTTCTTGGTCTTTTTTTTTTTGGGAAAATCTTTATTTTTCTTCTCTTCAGATTGATAGTGTTGCTAGATACAGAATCTGGATTCAATAGGTTTTTTTTTTCTTTCATGAAATGAATGTCATTCACTGTACTCTGTCCTCTGTTGTTTTCCTTAGAGTTATTAATTATATTATTTCCTGTATGCTGGAATTGCTTTCTTGCTATTTTCAAATTTATCTCTTTGCTTTTTTTCTTTCAACAGTGTCTTATCTAATGTAAAATCTTTCTATATTTATCTTGCTTAGGATTTCTGGGATGTGTGGTTTTTTTTTAATTGAGAAGTTTTCATGTATTTCTTCAAATAATTTGCTCCAAGTACACATATGTTGGTGTTCTTGATGTTATTCTACAAGTTTCTGAGACTATTCATTTTCTTCAGTCTTTTCTGTTCTCCGGTTGTATAATTTCTATTAATCTTTCTTTGAATTCATTTTTTTTTCATTTTTCTTTTGTTTTTTTTTTTTAACGTTTATTTATTTTTTTGGGACAGAGAGAGACAGAGCATGAGCAGGGAGGGCAGAGAGAGGGAGAACTAGAGATCAGAAACAGGCTCCAGAACTCCTGAGCCATCAGCCCAGAGCCCGGCCTTGAGCTTTCGAACTCACGGACTCACGAGATGGCCTGGCATGAAGTGGGCAGCTTAACGACCTCATGCACCAAGCCCCTTTAATATTTATTTTTGAGAGAGACAGTGAGAGTGAGCAGCGGAGGGACAGAGAGACAGGGGCAGAGGATCCGAACCAGGCTCTGTGCTGACAGCAGCCAGCCTGATGCATGAGATCATGACCTGAGCCAAAGTCTGGTACTCAACTGACTGAGCCACCCAGGCACTCTGATTTTTTCTTCTGCCATCTGGAATCTGCTGTTGAGTTCCGGCAGTGCATTTTTCATCCCGGCTATTGTATGGTTCAACTCCAGAATTTCCATTGGTTCTTTTTATAACACCTGTTTCCTCCTTGAAAGTTGCTATTTGTGCATTCATTGTTGTTACACTTTTCATGTTTTTCAACTACAATTTCCTTTAATTCTTTGAATGTTTTTATAATAGCTACGCTGAAGTCTTTGTCGCCCATATCCAGTATCTGTGTTCAGAGACAGTTTCTTTTGATTGCCTTTTTTCTTCAGTATAGGTAACAGTTTACTATTTCTCTGAATGTCTCTTTTTTGTTGTTGTTGTTGTTGTTGTTGTTGAATACTGGACATTTTAGATAACCTATTGTAGCAACTCCAGATTTTGCTTTCCCCCACTGAAAGTGGCTTTGGTTACTTTCGTTTGTTTAGTAACTTGCTTATACTAAATCTATAAAATCTGTCTCTCTTCTGGTATGCTGTTGCCAATGTCTCTATTCAGTTTTTTTGTTTAATATTCATGTGTGTGTATGTGATCCCAGTTTTGTAGGGATTACCCCTATGTCTGTGTAGGTTAGGGGTCAAACAGTTATTGAACAGAGATGATTAACTACCTAGAGCCAGTACACTTCTGTACTCTGCTGATGGACCTGTCTATGCATAGGGGAGCACATTTAAAGATCTGACCATTTCCAAGTCCACTGGACCCTTTTACATCTCCTCAGGACGAGTTCACAGCCTCAGGGTGGCCAGGAGACTGTGCTGAGTCAAGCTGTCTTCAGTCTCTGCTGATCATCTACAGAGCCTCAGCCAAGAAAATTATCTGCTCCCCTTCCCCAACACACAACCACAGCTTCAGCCCAGTGAAGCCTTTGGTCTTCTCCACTTGCCCACCTCAGAACTATTCACTTTCACCAACAGTGTTCCTGGATGTGTGCCTCGCCCACCATTCCAAATCTAATAATATGAGCCCTCTTGAACTTTAGCAGAGACACTGCCAGTCCCACCCCTGCTGAACCTTTCGGTCATTGAAACTTCCTTTGTTAGGGGAGGAATGGGTACGGCCTCAGGCCAGAATGCCACAAATTCTCACTGTTCTTACCCAAAGGTCAACAATTTTCAAAGCATAAATACTTTTCAGATCGTTCTATGCCTTTCATCAGTTTCCAAAGTACCAAAATGGTCGTTTTATCAGTTTTATCCCCCTTTCTAGTTGCGTTTTCCAGGGGGGGATTTTGCTAGTCTGCTCTGTCAGCCGTAACCAAAAGTCCTGCCTCTTCCCATTTACTCTTTCTTTTTCTTCTCTCATCATTAAGCACTCATCTACCTTTCTGAATACTGGCTCCTTTGATTCTTTTACTAGCCCCTTTTACTTATACTGAAATGTGGACAGAGTACAATGTGGCCCTTCACATTCTTTTCAACCTTCACACCCTCTGTGATGTCACATGTTCCTGAGGCTTTAACCATCATGTCCTACAGATGCCTGTAGGGTCATTTATCTAGTCTGTTTCCTGCCTCTAAACTGTCATTGCACCTTGTTGAATGCTGGTTACACAACTCTGTATCAACATTTTGCTATCAAAACAAAGTCAACATGTTCCATTCCTGCCTTTAGCGCCCAAGTACTTTTTCCATCTTGATTTTTTGTGCCTTATACAGAGTAGCTTGTGGTTATGTGATTATTAGAACAAATATTTTCTCGTTCACCAGAGTTTGATAAATTAACTTTATCTTTCGTCACTTTTCCTCATTCTCTGTGCATTAATTTGCCTGTGAAACAGCATACTGAAGATGTTTAGTATGTTTACTGCATAGTAAGTGTTCACTAAATGATGGTGGTGATAGTGGCCATTACTGTTTTATGAAATCTTTAAAATTCTATCTCTGAAATATCAGTCTTCTCCCTAGTATGAGGCATTGTTGAGGTGTTGAAAAGAGTAGTGGACTGGGAATCAACTGAGTTTAGGATTCTAGTTTGCCACTTAGTCATGGGACCTTAGATGACTTTAACTTCTCTGAGCCACGGTTTCTTCATGTAAAAATGTGGGGATCGGTAATATTTTCTATATTTCATAGATATATAATATTATATATTATAGGCTTGGAGAAAATCAAATGAGATGACTAAACTTATAACATTAATATTCTACACTTTATTAAGTAAAGTTATGATTTCCTCAGCTTCCATGGTGATTTCAGACTCTATACTTTTTTTCTGGTCTACAATAATCCCTTCCAAACTAATATCCCCACATCTCCCCACTGCAGTAGGTTAAGTCACACTGCAGTAAGTTAATGTTAACACATCTCAAATCTAATGCTATTGCTCTCCTACACGAAAACCTGCATTAGATGAAGCAAGTCTAAATAATTCACCTTGACTTAATTACCCCAGATTACCTGTTCTTCCTCAGCCCCTGTTTCCCCATACATATCTTATTGCCAACAAAACTCAACATGTTTCATGCCTGACTGTTGTTCTCCAAGGTCCCACTTCCTGCCCTTCGACCCTGGTCTTCACTTCCCTTTGCACCAGCAGCTGTCCTTATCAGAGTTCATGTTGAATGCTCTCTTGTCTGTGAATGCTTTAGTTTCTTGTTTGCTTTGAATGCAAACATCATGTCTTAAGACAACTTTTATACCCTGCAGTGCCTTGATCACAGTAAGAGTCTAATAACTATTTTAATTGGATTCCTGGTTTGTTTAATATGAACAAGAACATGTCTTATTTTTCAAGTAATCTTTTCCCTGTCTTAACAGCTTATTGAAAGCAAAGGCTCTATAGACTCAATTTTGCTGTAAGAAAAGGAGATCTATTTACAGAGTTCAGTTTCTAATGGAAAAGACTGCCATGACCTAATGAAAAATTAAAATTTTGTGACAGATACTAAGACACTCAGATCTTGTCATTCTTCTCTGTGGAGTCTTTAAGTTCAAAGGAAATGACATTTATGGTAGCCTTGATATTAAACAGTTTCTGCTGAGTCCAAAGTCATTTAACGCAGTTGGGCCTAGTGAACCTCATTAAATACATGCATCTTTTAAAAATCTCTGGAGTCTGATTCAATGATGTGACCACACAAACCTTTCTAGTGACTGATTGAAGTGGTTGCCAGCAATCTGAGAATTTTCTTCCTTAAAATTCTGCTTGATTTTTCTTTCTGTTCTTACTCTAGTTTGGTGGGCCTCAAACTTCCATGGTGTCAGAAACTGGGTTGTTTTCAAATGCATCTTCCCAGGCCTGAGCCTCAAAGATTGTGGTTTCATTATTGGGGTGGGGTTCAGAATTTGCATTTTAATAGTGCCTTAGATCAATCTAATGCAGGTGATCCACAGAGCACGCTTTGTAGGGAAATCTTGTCCACGATTAAAGTTCCGTATGACCGTTTTTAGATTGGCCAACTTAATTTTTAAATCTTTCTTTAAAAAACCTCTCTCATTATAGAGACAGAAGGTGTGCGGGAGCTTGACTTTGCAGCACCACATGCTAGAACCTGTTCAGCGGATCCCCCGGTATGAGATGCTCCTCAAGGACTACCTAAGGAAGTTGCCCCCTGACTCTCCAGACTGGAACGATGCTAAAAGTAAATGCTCCTCCCCCACCCCCTTTCTGCTCTGGGTTAATCAAGTGGCCAGGAAGGCTTGTGGTTAAAGAGAGAGATAGGTCTCACAGCCAACTTAGTAAGATATTGCTGCCAAAAAATAGCCTCATCGGAAATTGTCATCAACAGCTCAATTAGGCAAGCACTTCTGAGCCCAGATCCCAGGTTTAGAGAAAGGCAAATCACATTTCTCATGCTGATTTCATGTTAATCATTAACTCAGAAATCTGAAACAGTAGTTTTAGAGACATCTGGAATAGCAATACACAATTACCTTCTCACAGAAAGAATGCAACCATTCAGAATTACTGGTGCTGCTGGTTAATTAGATAGGTTGATACATACCAAGAAAGCTAACATGACATTTACTGTGTAAAAATAACCTAAGCCAACTTGGCTCTACCTACCCTGAAAGAGAAGAGAAAGTGATGCTTTTTAGTGTCAGTTAACATTTCTCAGGAAAACTTCATTCCTATTCCTCCAGTTGCCTTTTATTTTTTCACTGGTTCCTAATGAATGATTTTTTTTTTTAAGACTCGGGAGTTTCAATACTTCAGCTTTCTCAGGTTCTTTCAAAAAATCAAAGCATGCGACTCTTGATCTAGGGATCATGAGTTCAAGTCCCCCGTTGGGTGTATAGCTTACTTGAAAAAAAATTTTTTTAATTAAAAAAAAAATCAGGTAACTGAAGGCAAGAATGAAAATTTAAGAGATAGGGATGGCTTAGTGTCAAGTACTAACAGTGCTGCTGTACAATCTTGAAACATTGGTACTTTGCTAATAATTGCTTGTCTTTATTATAAATGAGCCCTGGCAAGAGATGAGAACACAGAACACAATCTTTGGTCTCGGCACCTGGGTCTCTTTTTGAACACAGGCTTTCTCTGATGCATTTCTCCTGCCATCCAAGTGAGTCAGTGACCACAGGAACTTCTCTTCTTCCCTTTCTCCCTTTACGGTTTAGAATTATCCTGACTTGACTTCTTCTGTTTTCCACTTCATGCCCACTTCACACTCCTCTGGGCTAAGTGGTTGGTTTTGGCGACAAAATTAGTGGTAGGACTAAGGGTGGGATTACTGCTACTCTTCCTCAAACTGCTGATCCCAGGCTATTTTATTTTGTTTCCCTCTACCTTGGAGCCTGTGTGACATGCACAGCATTCCCCAATCAGGATAGTTCTCCAAAATCTAAATAAAAATGCAGTATCTTCTAAACTCAAAGACTTAGACTTGCCCTAAGGTGGCAGGGTCAAAAATGAGACCGTTAGCAACACTGTAGGGCATTTTATTTCTCTCTTTGCTTTCCCATTGCTCCTTAAACTAATATCGTAAGGAAATCACAGAAGTGCTTTTAGAGACCCAAAAGAGAGGAGAAAGCAACAAAAGTGCATTCTGTTCAGCCACGGAACAAAGAAGAGAATTGGGTCCAGAAGTAATGAGGTTGTTGTGGTAACAGAATTAAGCAGGCTGTGGTATTCCTAAGATAAAAAAGAAAGAGCAGGACATGATTTAGGATTGAGGGCATTCCCTGGGGTTGATCCTCCAGGAGGCCTCAGCCTCCAGAGCCCTTCCCCAGCAGCACTGGAGCTCCTACCTTGTCCACACCAGACGGCTCCCATTCCCACCTCTCCCACTGCCTCCGCAGCAGAGCCTTCCTTCAGCATTGTCATCAGCTGATTCCCCTTTGCCCGACCAAGAATAGAACTGTGAATATGTTTCACCAAAGAAAGTTGGTTATGCGTGGTGGTTAATTTGCTTATAAAACTAATAAAATAGTACTGCTGAAATGGTGTAGGACATTGAATCAGAAGATGTAGGTTCCAGTGTGTCCCTACAGTATCATAGTTGTGTGACCTTGGCCAAGCCACATCACTCGCCATTCCTTTCATCTGCCGAGTGGAGCTAACAGACTCTCCATTCAAGGTTGTGGAAGAGTTAAGTGACATAATATATATGAAAGCATCTGGCGAAGTGCCTTATGCCAATCTAGTGTACATGGTAATTGTTAATTTTGAAGGTCCGTTATCTGGGTCATATATAAAAATGTGTATGACTATTTACGAGGAAGTATCCTTCAAGTTCCAAATAATCTGCTCACAAATGAAGTTCTGAAAGTATTCATTTTGTAAATGGAAGTTGCCCCTGCTTTTGGTGTCAGATGTACAGTCTCAGGTTTCTTCTTACTATAACGTTACGTTATTCAACTATCTAGTAGCGTAGCAATGACAAAATACATTTATTTACTTTTCTTTTTTCCCATTTAGAATCACTTGAGATTATATCTACGGCAGCAAGCCATTCTAATAGTGCAATAAGAAAAATGGTAAGTAATTTTCAAAGGAGTTGGAAATCTTCCAGTTAGATAATTGTCAATAATATAGCCTAATGTTATCTGTAGGTTTGGACCAAAATGAATTGGTAAAGGTAAATAAAAAAAAGATTATTTATAAAGTGTTTAGTGTTATGTGGAATAATCCTGTCCTCTTTCCCCCTCTGTTTCAATTTGCTCGGAACTGACACATTTTATACCAAATTTGTGCTTAGTCCCAATCCCTTCTGCATTATTCGGATTTTAGCTAAGGTCATTGTATTATTAAAGGCACGAAAGTAAAACCTCCCTTTATTTGGTCTTGCTGTATTTTGTTTTCATTTCCTAGGAGAATCTAAAGAAACTCTTAGAGATTTATGAAATGTTGGGAGAGGAAGAAGACATTGTCAATCCTTCAAACGAACTCATAAAAGAAGGACAGATCCTGAAACTCGCTGCTCGGAACACATCAGCACAAGAACGCTACCTTTTCTTGGTGAGTATTCTAGTGTGAGCTGGTCACGTAACAGTAATTCAGAGACGTGGTTCTGTACATCTTGGAAAAGTAGGATGCTTGTGTGCTCACCAAAGCAATTCTGTCTAATCTGGTTTAGTCAACACTGTTAGGATTCCACATAAGACAATGTCCTTTAGTAACTGAAACTTGTTCCTTCAAGGACTCAAATCTTAAAGTATTTTAAAAATAAATTTTCTGTGTACTTACCATGTGTCAGTTACTTCAGTAACCTACAGCTGATGACAACTTGTCTATGATGATCTTAGCCATCACTCACTCTTTCCTTCAGTTCTTAGAGGCTAATGAGTACCATTTTCTGACAAGGGTTCTCTTTCGAATCCTCTCTGATCACTACTTTAATCTTTCCAGTTTGAGGAAGTATATATTCAAGGTTGTGAAGCTTATGCCTAAAATATCTCTGAAAAATGCATGAGTTTGCCACATAGTTCCTTTACATTGGAGGCAGTCCCTGTCCTTTCCTTTACTTCCTGGAAATGACATTTAGTCTGGGGCTTATCTCAAATGTTAAGAGCACTTCCTGGGGCATCCAGGCCATTATGTTTTTAGTCTCTGTTAATTCCAGTTCCTTTCTATATCTAATGATGTGATAATAATCAGAATAATAGCTAATGTGGAGTAACAATAAGCTAACACTGAGTAATAGCTAGTAAATGTTAGCTATTGTTATGATTGTTATTATCGTCCAAGAAACCAGACACATTGGTCATGAGGCTTGCCCAGTGAATGGCCCACGATACCTTCTCAGGATGTTACTCACATCTGACTTTCTGGTGCAGGACAGTCCTCTCATCAGCCATACTATGAGTTTATTTGGGAGCTTACAGGGTTTTTTTCCCCCTCTGGTTACAGCCTCCTTTGATAGGAAAACTTACAGGAACTAATTACCATGCATAGTAGTATTCAGTATCTCTCATTTTTCAAAAAGAACATTTGGTCACCATATTTATTACCTAGCAGCTCTTCCAAGTTTGTATACAACTCAAGAAAATTGAAACCATGTCTACACAAAACTTGTATGTGAATGCTTATGCAGAATTATTCATAATAGCCAAAATATGTGGCCATACGGATATAGTGGTATATCTATGCAGTGGAATGTTATATGGCAGTAAAAAGGAATAGAAAACTGATACATGCTATATGAATGAACTTTGAAAGCACTTTGACAAGTGAAAGAAGCCATTCCCAGAAGCCCATACTGTATGCTTTCATTTATATGCAATGTCCAGAGTAGGCAATGGAGAGAGGCAGGATGTAAGTAGAGGTTGCCTAGGGCTGGTGGGGAAAAGGAAATGGACAGAGTTTCCATTTGGAGTCATGAAATGTTCTGGGAGTAGATAGCAGTGATGCTTGCACAATTTATAGCTATACCAAACACCATGAATTGTCATTTTAAAAGGGTAAATTTTATGGTATATGAATTATATCTCTATAACTTTATAAGATTTAAAGATACTATCCAAATTAACTCCAAAACCTTCATTTGAAATCAACAAAAATACTTTACCACTGAGAAATCATACAGACAGCTAAAAATGAAAATCTAGGACTTGTGATGCCATCTCAGGGTTCTGAGCTCTAATTATTTTGAAATGTATGATTGTTGTTTAGGTACAGTGAGACCACTAGATCAGGAGAAAATTGCCATGAAAAAGATCATTATACGCAGAGATTCCTCAAAGGAGAGGCTTGCCATACCATGGGAGTGTGGTTACACAAGAAAGCACCAGAGTCCATAAGGAGGCAGAGGAACCAAACAGAAAATGTGAGCAAGAGTGTTTATTATGGGTTCAGTGAGAAGGAACGGGCAAGACAAAATAAACAGACTTAGGATTTGCTAGTTTACATAATTCCATCAGGCTCTGGGGTATATACTGGCTGTTGTCTGAGTGATTAGGGCAGGGGAATACTGGCCCAGGGTGTAAAAGCTCAAAAAAGGAGGCGGTTAGGGTATGGCCTCTGGATTGGTTGGTTTCCATATGAAAAGCATGCATGTAGGTCACTCATTTACTACTTCTAGTAAGTGGATAACCCGAAGAAGGACAAATCCCTCCATTGTCAGCAAAGCCCCAAGATGTCAAAGCATCAAAAATACAGATTAGGGACGCTTAGGTGGCTCAGTCAGTTAAGTGTCTGACTCTTGATTTTGGCTCAAGTCGGACAATCAAGTTCCGTATCGGGCTCTGCACTGACAGCACGGAACCTGCTTGGGATTCTCTCTCTCCCTCTCTCTACCCCTACCCTGCTCATGTGCACTTGCTCTCTCTCTAAATAAATAAATAAACTTGAAAAAAAATACAGATTAAAAAGACAGATTAATATACTATTTGGGGCAAAATGCCTGGGAGTTAATGTCTTCCCTCTACCAATGTCTTCCCTCTGCCTTTCCCCGTCTTTTAGGTGCTTAGGTAATTTCCTTTCCCTTCTTCTGCATGATTGTTACAGTTTCAATACTTAAGCTTCTAGCTCTGTGTCTAACCAATTGCCTTGGTTTAATCTTCACATTTGAGAATTATCCTGGAAATAGTTTTAGGTTGAATATCTTGGTGCAGAGCCAAATTAAGCAGCTATTTGGAGGACAGGTGGCAAGGAGCCTTGGGGAACTACAGCCATAGTGTCTTTGAAGAAAAGACCCATCTCGTTCCACTTATTGTAAGCTATCAAACCTCTCTTGCCGTTGCCTCCCAGGAGAATGGAGTCCTAGAGCAAGAGTTACTGGAAAGCCGCATTCGTCTTGTGAAGACCATCTTAAAAGCATCTCTGTAGGTCCGTTCTCTTGATCCCAGCACGCCCACCCACCTCCATCCCCTGCACTGTTCTTGTCGCGCACCCTCCTCTTGCCAGTGCACTTTGCTTTGCATAGAGCATTTTGGTTTTTTATACATAGTAACCTCAGCAACCTTTCTTATTTTTGTCTCTAGAAAGAATATGAGGGCTAGTTTTCTGTGTCCTTCTCTGGTGGTATTACATTTCTCTAAAAAAGCCAAATTGCATTTAGAATCTGATTTCAACATTCAGCTGACCTTCATGTGTTTGCACGTTTTCTTGCCTCCACACCATACTTGTTTGTATTACTGCAGTGTATTCTGTTGACTAAATTATATAACCACACCTGATATCTGAATGTTTAAAAAAAAATCACTAAATTATCCTACAGAATGACCCGGGAGGTTTTTATTCTTGGCCCTTTGGAGTTCTAGCCTTTATTTGCTTGTAGCTGGACAGGTTTTGATTTCCCTCCCCCATTCCATGACTTATTTAAACTTTGAATACAGAGCAGGCGCTGGAAATTTTCTCCAATAATGTACTTTTTTCTTTTACCTTTTAAAACAAACTGGAATGAAACTGTCACTGGCGAGACATGAAGTTGAATTGTTTCAGTTAAATACACATTTTAAGAGACTTAATATGAGTAGTTGAGGACACTGGAGATTAAGAAGGGGGACTTGCCCTGTGTTTTTAATAAAATTGAGACTGGCTTCTAGCTTAGCACTTCTGGAGCTTGCTCACCAGCCAGAGATTACATGTCCATAACGACTTCTGAGCTGTGGCCGTGGATAACAAGGGATCTCCTGCACCAAAAGGGAAAGTCAATCTACTTGGTGCTGCACTTGCTATCACTTCTTCTTCAGTACCAGCAGAAACCCAGAGGCAAGGGGATAACGGCTTTCACCAAAGGAGCAGGGTTCACAGAGGGAACAAGAGTGACTACCTAATTCCTGTACATATATGGCATCTGCTACTTCGTAAGCGCTATTTTATGTCTGTCAAGAGCTCTTATTTTCAGCTGTAAGAAAGAAGAAAAAAGGTATTTATTGATGAGCATTAGATTGTGACATGAGTTCTAGAAGGGTGATAAAACAGTTATTGATCATTGAGAACGTAAAGCCCCAATTAGGAAGACTATATAATAAGGGAAACATAATCTTGCAAGTGTAAAACAGAAAGAGAAACATTCATAAAACAGTCTGTCATCTTGCATGAGTGTTAACTGCAAAAACTAAATGCCAAGAATTTCCACATTCATGGACGGTGTTTCTATAAAATAAGAAGACTTTGCTGAACTTTATAAAGTGAACTGGGTACAGCACCAGATAACTCAGCAATTTTATGGCATGACATTACATTTGTCACTCAGTTTGCAGAAAATGAGGCTGTTGTTGCTGTCTTGAAAGTTGAGCCCTGTGCATGTCGGCGGCTCTCCCCTTCCTGCTGCACTGTTTACAGCCTGGACCAAATCCACTCCTGAGACGGCCTTCGTACAAGATAGAGAGAAATGTTAACACAAACAGCAGCAAGCTGTTGCATTAACCAAGCTGGATGGTGATGAGAGCCTTTCAGAGTGTTTTCAAATCCCTAAGTCCTGTGTACTGCAATGAGGCTAGTGATTGCCATACTTAGAACACAGCGGACTGTTAATAATAGGGCATAGGTCATTAGGGTTCTCTTCTAGAAATGTAAATGTGAAATGTGGTGCTGAGATGCATCTGTTAAAATGTATTTAGTGCCCTTTTATTTCCATTGAGGAAATGAAATTTATGATGCTGGTTACAGGATGTTGCATAATAATGCACAAGGAACAACCGATGAGAAATTTGCTTTCAGAATGAGTACAATGGACAGTGTCACATAAACAGGTTGAAATGTTTTCAGAACCCATCAAGATTTCTTGTCTTGATGGCTTAGGTGGAGCCAAACGGGACCTGGTTCAACAGGACAGTTTTCTTCATTTAATCCTCTTAACAACCTGTGACTTTTAGAGATAATTATCCTGAGACAGGAGAAGTTATGTAGTGCATAGTACCCAGTTGCCCTTGTCTTCCAAAAATATATGTGACTCTAGAAACAGTGTAAGAGACAATAATAGGAAGAAAGAAGGTAAGTATGGACCTTCTTTAGGAATCTGCCTACAGATTAACCTAAGTATTTAGTCTTTCCTCTTTCTGTATGTTTTAATATACTCAAAAGTGAATTAAATGCCTCCCCAAACTTACTGCTTGGTCCTGATTAGCAGGGGTAGTTCATTGTGACTAGAAATGAGGTATTATACAAAGTTTGATTCAGTTTTCAAAATAAAGTCCTTCATGTTACTTAAATTTTTTTCAAATGTTTATTTTTGAGTTAGAGAAAGCACGAGTGGGGAGGAGCAGAGAGAGAGGGAGACAGAGGATCTGAAGCGGGCTCTGAGCTGACAGTAGAGAGCCCAATATGGGGCTCGAACTCACAAACCATGAGATCATGACCTGAGCCAAAGTTGGACGCTTAACTGACTAAGCCACCCAGGTACCCAGAAGGTCCTTCATTTTAAAAGCAGATCTGGTAAAGAAGATCTTTAAAAACTTTTTGCCAAAATAGGTGACTTCTCTATTCATACATGACAAATCCTTAAGATGTGGGCCAATATAAAACAGTAACTTAGATTTTTATGTAGGGCTTAGTGTGCTAACCCCACATGTTCTAAAGTAATAATTTGGGTTTTTTTTAACCTAATATTAAACACACAAAAATAACTGCTAAAAATTACTCTTTTTCTCTAATAACTATTGTAGACTTGCTTTGTAAGACACAGCAATTAGAAATTTTGATGCCTAAGGGCTTCAACTTATGTGGTTGAGAATTTCAGGTCCTGGTATGTGGAAAGTCTTTAATAAATTATTGCTGAATTTAATTGAACTAATTTTCTTAATAGTACAAAATGATTGATTTACTTAAATATCAATAAACTATGAAGGGCACCCAGTGGCTCAGTTGGTTAAGCGTCCAACTCTAGATTTTGGCTCAGGTCATGATCTTGCAATTTGTGAGATCAAGCCTCATGTCAGGCTCTGCACTGACAGTGTGAAGCCTGCTGGGGATTCTCTCTCTCTCTCTCTCTCTCTCTCTCTCTCTCTCCCTCTCTCCCTCTGCTCCTTCCCCTCTCTCAAAATAAGAACATTAATAATTAATTATTATGAACCAATAAAGAGAAATATGTTATAAATTTTAAAATAGGGTAATTTTGACATAGGCCTAAAATCTCAATATAGTATTTCAATAATTTTGCTCACATAGAAAGTATGATATTCCCTAGAAATTCCTTGGAATTTTTGCCTAGGGCTACTTTTCGTATTGGTCACTTTCCTCTTTCTTCTTTGTTTTCTTGTTGATGTGTGTTCTGTCTCCTTGCAGTTCAACAACATGTTGCTGTATTGTGTACCAAGATTCAGCTTGGTGGGCTCTAAATTCACAGTTCGAACCAGGGTTGGCATCGATGGAATGAAAATTGTAGAGACCCACAATGAAGAGTATCCACACACTTTCCAGGTATCTGGAAAAGAGAGAACACTGGAGCTACAAGCCAGGTGAGAGATTCATTCACACAGCTTTCTACAAGCATTGGAAGGAGTTGTAGGACAGAATAATTCTGAGGATCTTTCCCAAGTGAATACTACAGACCTCTGGGAATCTGGTTAGACATAAGAGAAGTAGTAGAAGCTCTTAAAAGGCAAGAATGATGTCTTCCCTTTTGATTCCTCCGTAGTGCCTAGGATAGTGGTTTCGAGATGGTAAAAATTCAGTAAGTTACTTTGCCTCTTCAGATTTACAGGGTGCTCAGAGAATGAAGTTTTTGCATTCAAGCCAGGGTTTTGAGACTTGTAGGAAAAGGTTCTCCCCTAACACTTCCTCCCTCCACCCTTCTTTTGGGTGCACAGTGTTTATTGATGCTTATTATTCCATGCTAAAGTTGAAGCATCAACTGTCAGTCCTTCAGTGTCTCTGCATTTGTGGGACTTGTTGGACTTTGATGGAGAGAATATTCAGAAGAGGCAGGGTAGAAAAGGTAATGATTCTCCTGCCACGGTGGAGGATACATGAAGGGGGCCATTTAGAGCCATCGTGGCCTCTAGAAACCAGGAATTCTGGAAGGGGTGATTCTTTTTTGCATGCTTTATTGAATTGGAAAGAAGGCTAGAGTTCTAGCATCCATGTCTCTAACCTAACCATGTTTAGAGGGGAAAAAACAATGAGAACCACTACAATGGATCATAGCTACCTGACGTGTGAACCTCTGGGAAACAGCATACTGTCAGATTTTGAAATATCTGCCTTAGAAGTCTGTCATCCATTTATCCTACAAAGACCTATGTCATGGTGAAAATTGAGAACCTTCAGAAGGTCACAGATCAGAGGGTTAAGTACCAATTCTCACTCTGATGGTTCTGATACCCCAGGATCTGGAGACTCATAGAGCACTTCTGTTCCTTTTTGTTCTGTTGTACCTATAGTGTAGTTCTGAAGCTCATATGAATTCATCCTGGATACTTGTACTTAGTAACCATAAAAGCTTGAAGTTCAGACTTTCAAAAGAGAATAATTCATTCTGGCAGGAATCTGCCCAGGGAATCAGGGAATTGGTGATCTTACAGTTAGGGGAGATCCAGCAGGCTGGGAAAATTTGAAGAAATAGCCAGCCAGTACTTTGGTTTCCCACAGCAAATCTCTCCTGAACCTGGCATTACTTAGGGAACTGCTAGGGGACTGCTCTGAGGATTAGAAGGTGGCATTTCAAGCATGAATTAAAAGTATAGAGGACTTGGCTTTGAATGCCATGGTTTTCCGACTTTATGGTGGGATTTGGGCCCCAGCCATTCAAACCCAAGGGAAGAAGGTATTTTGCTGTGCTTGGAGGTTCCTGACCTGAATCCTCACTCAGAGCCTGACTCACTGAGTGACTGGTTCTGGCAACGGGGAGGACTTATCAGTAGTTCTGACCCTCAGAGAAGTTTTCAGTGCAGAAGTGCATAAGTGCAAGTTTTCAGTGCAGAAGTTTTCTTGCAGAAGAATGAAATGCTGCTGCTCTTAAATACCAGCACACTTCCAAATCTGCAAACCTGAGACATGTCTAAACAGCAGAAGAGAGATTATCAAGGTTTCAGGGATTGTCTAAATGGGAACTCCAGCCTTCCATTAGCAAGTGGGCTCTTTTCTCTTGAGGATGGGGCTGATTCATGAGGAATTTTGTTAAGTACAGGCAGTAATCACTTTGTAGAGTTCCAGTATGCAGTATTGGATACATTTCAACTGGTATTGAAAACACGGTCATGTTTCCTTAAATTTCCTCTTCCCCTAATCGCATTGCTGCACTTATATCTATGATTACATGGTGAATCAAAGATCCAAATTAAGTGATTACTTTTCATCCAGTCTATGATTCTTTCAAGAATAGAGACAAACATTGAAAGTCTCAGAACATCAGAGTGTTACAGAGATTGCACGGAGCCCAAAATTGGATGTATGTTTGGACATATTTATAGATAATTCACTTCTGAAACCAACTGGGGGGAAAAAGGATTCTGCTTTTCTTGCAGAATGAGTCGGCCTTAAGACTGACCTCCTACAGAAGCTGTGGGACCCATTTTGCACCATGAGTTTGTGAAATCTGGATTAAAAAATTACCTCTTCAGTGTTTTGTCATACAAGCTTTCTTCTAGCATGTGCTTTGAGTAAACTAAAACTATTTTCAGCTTTTCTCAATTAACATTTGGTAGTGTACTTCAGAATGATGTTATCTGAGTGAAATTAGTTTTGAGTACATTAAATGGATCTTTTATACCACATCACTGTGAACACATTGGGGAGACATACTTTTTTGGAAAACTCAAGGTGCTAGATCCCTAATTAAAGAGGAACATTTCTCATGTTTGTTCATTCTAGTTTACTTTTATTTAAAATCTTTTAGGTTAAGTTTAAACTTTTAAAAATAAGTTAGTTTTGAAAATTGAGACACATTACTAATACCATAGGAATTGGTGAGGCCTTGACTTGAAACTTTCTTTGTACTGTGATTTCCTTTTGGGTGTATTTTGTTAAGTGAAACTTGTTAAACTTTTTTGTTAACTAAATTTTTTTCTTAAAATAAAGATTTTTCCACAGTGACCAAAAAAAAAAAAAAAAAAAAAAAAAAAAAAAAGAAGGGAAAAAAAAAAAAAACCTCTTACATTCTACTTCCTCTTCCATATTTAAAAGAATATAAAGTATTCGGTCTTACATAGTTTTTATTTCATGGTTTTATGTTACTAAATGTATGTTAAAACATAGTAATAAGTAAGTTAGAGGAGTAAAAAATCTGCCATGACTGAGAAAGTAAAACAAAAAGCATTAAAGACTTATCAAGTTTCTTTGCATTTAAAAGGCTGAGAGCAGCTAGGAAATAACTATGATTACAAGGCAGTAGAAATAATTTTATCCACGCAGGCCACTGCAGTAGGGAGCAGTCTTTTTTGAGGAGCAAGATTGAAGCCTTCCCCGGTAAGAGTCTTGGTCCAAGGATCCCCAGGTGAACAATAAGCAGAATCTTCCATTTGACAAGCACGGATTCTAGCTGCATTCTTGGCACATCATGATGCTCAAGAATAAATTTGCTAGAAAGATGGATGATGTCACAAGAGCCAAGCTCCTGCTAGACTCATTTATATGTGACACCTGTAGGAGCGAGGCATGTGACATTCGGGCTGGAACTCAAACTCAGCCCTAGCCTAGCAAACACATGCAAACAAATGGAGCCCCACTCTTTTGACATTCTTCAAAATCCCCCAACTTGAAGATCTAGCTCAGGCCAGAGTCTACTAATGAGGACTTTTCTAACACATTCTGTGACAGCAGCCAGCTGTGTAAGCTACCTGCAAGGGAGATGAAATAAAGAGAATTTGCCTCAATAGGAAAATAGAAGATTTGATTATAGTCAAGGAATTTTCTTTTTCCCAACAGAAAATTATTAAGTACTGGAGTCCATTAATCTGTGAAACTTCCTTCCTACAAGCATCTAAAAATTTTGTTTTGCTTTATCTGTAATAGGTTAAGTACAGTATTGCCTAAAACTTTCTAGCAAAATTATTTATCAGAGGAAATATTAAATAGCTCCCTAAGACCTTTACAAAGATATTTTAGATTCTAGAGGATACATGTAATGTTTTCTAAGATGAACTGTGACTAGTAGCCTTTGAAAATCTCGTGTGTTTTCTTAAAGGTGAATTGGAAGACTAGTTGTATATCTGGTATAACTACATCTACGTTACCTAATATGTTCAGCTAGATGATGGTTATTAAAAATAACATCAGGGCAGTATATTAATGGCAGTTAAACTTAACTCTCCCACTCAAAAATTATGTGTACCATAATTTTGTTTAAGAATTTGTTTGTTCACTTGCCAAAGATTCTGTTTAATTTTTGTTGAAACTTCTTCCTGGACATCCCTGAATTTTCCAGAAAGTTGAAACAACATCAAAGCATAGTTTTATTCTTATTCACAAGTTATAACTCATTAATGTTTTCTGCATTCACTTATATTCACTTATATTCTGTTTTGTTTTAGTTCTGAGCAAGACAAAGAAGAATGGATCAAGGTAAACTGGATTTCTATTTTCGTTTTTGTTTTTGTTTTTTGGTAACCTTTGTGTACACAAACATGTACATATTGTAGCGTATACATACATCAATGTCATAAGAACAAGGTCAGTTAATTCTTAAGGTCATTTTCACATCATAGATATTTGTTTGATAAGGCATTTTCATTAATTTGTAAGTGATATTTTAATGTGTGCTTTGAATCTCATTTATATTTTAGGCGCTTCAGGAGACCACTGATGCTTTCCATCAGAGGCATGAAACCTTCAGAAATGCAATTGCAAAGGATAATGACATGCACTCAGAGGTTTCTGTAAGTTGAATTAAATTCTTTAAGTTCTTTTCTCTTTGCAGTTGCAGAACTGGCTAGACAGAATCTCATTTTTCCTTCCATGAATACAATAGCGAGTGCCTTTTTGTGCTGCTTAAAATTCTTTGTACCTTTTATTTCTTTTCCTGGGTCTTGAGTTTCAGAGCATGATATAAGCAATGTTGTTGAAGTGCTTTTTAATAAATAAGTAAAAAAAATAGATGGAAATGACAGTGTTTTCTATTAAAATTGAATCTCTTTCTTTTTTAGACTGCTGAGCTAGGGAAAAGAGCTCCAAGATGGATCCGAGATAATGAAGTAACGATGTGTATGAAATGCAAGGAGTCTTTCAATGCACTGACAAGGAGAAGACATCATTGTCGAGCATGTGGACATGTAAGTGAGATTTCTTAATGGTCATGAAGGCTGCTAGTAACTATATAAGTGTTGTAAAAGCATCAAGTTTGGAAAGGCAAAAAAAAAAAAAAATCATTCAATTAAATAAATTACTTAATTGATAAACTTATTTTGATGTCAGCTATGTGCAGAACACTGTGCTGGATCATGGAGAAAAAATGGTAAGCAAAATGATAGCCAGTTTCACCTAGTTTACATTCTAATGGAGAAAATAACCAAAGTCAAGTAAATGGACAAATAAGCATTTTAAATTACTACAAAGACACCAAGAAGGCAATCAAGAAGTTAGAATAGAGAATGATGTTAACAGAGGAGGACTTGGAACCAATTTTACTTAGAAAAATGAAAACCTCTCTGAGGCACAGATATGTAAGCTGGTGCCTAAAAGGTGAGAAAGAGCTAACCATGGCAAGGGGGGTGGGAAAGGCATTCAGTGGCTCTGTATGTCAGAAGAACTGAGATAGGAGAAAGTTGGGTCTGCTATTGGGATGCCAGAGGTAATGGGGCTGGAGCCTAATGAGTAAGAGGAACTGGGGCATAAGAAATAGTTAAATGGGTAAATAATAGTTAAATAGGTAAATAATAACCAAAGGAGTCGATGTCTCTGAGAAAACAAGAGTTGGAACATACAGCATAAATGGAAGTTCAGGCTTTTGATGGGAGAGGAAAACTTCCCTCCATTATAACAGAAAGGAAAAAGGAAATGATGGGTGCAAATGTGGGTGTGTTTTTGATTTTGTGGTAGGAAATTTTGTCATTGAAGTATGAGGAAGAGTCATCAGCTGAAAAAAGAGGGAGAAGAGGGATGAGGGAGATTCGAGAGAGGGTTCAGTATGATACAGTTGTCTCTGGGCAGGGAAGTGAGCCTCCCAGAGGAACATGTGTGGACTTCTGTGCCCATTAGAGGTTTATGGTTATACATGTAAAAGGGGCACGCAAAACTCAATAACTCAGGCCAGAGGGGGCTGGTGACAGGTTTTCAGCAATTTGAGCTATTTCATATGAAAAGAGTGAGGGAGGAACAAAGCATGAAATGAAGCAGGGGAGAGAGAACAGCAGGTTTTTGATGGCCTTGTGTACCAAGTTGAAGATTATATACTTTCTTCTAAAAAGCAACAAGTAAACAGAAGGGCAGGCATTGTGGTGCCATGATTTAACATATTATTAGTATGCTGAAGTGCAACACTTCTTATTGATCATTCATTTAGATTGGTTTTTTACTGCAGATTTATTCTTCTGCTTTCCTCCTAAGTTTTCTCAGTGAAACAGTTCTGCGATCAAAGTTCAATTTGATAGCAAACTTTCCCCTCAGGGTAAGACTTTTTAATCTGTCATTGAGTTTGCTTGAAATGATTTTGGGTATTGACTGACACACTTGCCTTGTGTTCAAACAAATGTGTTTGAATGTGGATTACCAAAATACTATGATATGAGTTGGAAATAAATAAGAGAGTAGCTAATATGAATATGCAGATGCAGGCATGTTTAATTCTAACTCTTAGAGTAATTTCATTGCAATTATGAGAAAACAATGAATTGAGTTTTTTTAAATTTTTAAAAATTTTCATTTTAGAAAGAGAACATGAGCAGGGGAGGCAGACAGAGAGACAAAGAATCCCAAGCAGGCTCCACAGTCAGCATGGAGCCCAGCATGGCGCTCAATCCCTACGACCCTGGGAATACGACCTGAGCTGAAATCAAGAGTTGGTCGCTCAACCAACTGAGCCACCCAGGCACCCCAACAATGAATAGTTTTTTTTTCTATCATGAATTGTATATGCTGTGAACCTAAACTAAAAGTTTTACTAATATTTATATAGTTTTAAATAGTTTGTCCACTATAATTGGGAGGAAATATGCTTTTTGAAGCAAGAAGATGCTTTTTTTTTAAGTGTGTGTGTGTGTGTGTGTGTTTTATGTTTTCATTTAAATTCCAGTTTAACAGACAGTGTAATATCAGTTTCAGGTGTACAAAATCATGATTCAACACTTCCATGTAACAAGTGCAGTCTTTAATCCCCATCATCTATTTAACCCATCCTCTTACCCACCTCTCCTCTAGTAACTATCAGTTTGTTCTCTATAGTTAAGAATCTGTTTCTTGGTCTGCCTCTCCGTCTCTCTTTTTTACCCCTATGCTTATTTTGTTTCTTAAATTCCATATATAAGTGAAATCATATGGTATTTGTCTTTCTCTGATATACTTTGCTTAGTATAATATTCTGTAGCTCCATCTGCATTGTTGCAAATGGCAAGATTTCATTCTTTTTATGGCTGAGGAATATTCCATTGCATGTGTGTATGTATGCATTATGACTGATATACACACACACACACACACACACACACACACACACACATCACCTCTTCTTCATCCATTCATCAGTCAGTGGATACTTAGGCTGTTTCCATAGTTTGGCTGTTGTAGATAACACTGCAATAAACACTGGGGTGCATGTATCCCTTTGAATTAGTATTTTTTGAGTAAATACCTAGTAGTACAATTGCTGGATTATAGGGTAGTTCTATTTTTAACTTTTTGAGGAACCCTCCATACTGCTTTCCGGAGTGGCTGCACCAGTTTGCATTCCCATCAACAGCCCAAGAGGGTTCCCCTTTCCACACATCCTCACCAACACCTGTTGTTTCTTGTGTTGTTGATTTTAGCCATTCTGATAGGTGTGAAATGATATCTCATTGTAGTTTTGATTTGTATTTCCCTAATGATGAGTGATGTTGAGCATCTTTTCATGTGTCTGTTGGTTATCTGTCTTCTTTGAAAAAGTGTCTATTCATGTCTTCTATCTTTTAACTGATTATTCATGTTTTGGATGTTGAGCTTTGTAAGTTCTTTGTGTATTTTGGATACTAACTTTTTATCTGATATATGTCATTTGCAAATATCTTCTCCCATTCAGAAGGTTACCTTTTAATTTTGTTGATTGTTTCCTTCTCTGTGCAGAAGGTTTTTATTTTGATGAAGTCCCAATAGTTTATTTTTGCATTTGTTTCCCTTGACTCAGGAGACATTTCTAGTGAGAAGTTGCTATAGCCAAGAAAATATTTTTTTTGTGTTTATTTATTTTTGAGAGACAGAGCATGAGTGGGGAGGGACAGAGAGAGAGGGAGACACAGAATCTGAAGCAGGGTCCAGGCACTGAGCTGTCAGCACAGAGCCCAATGCGGGGCCTGAACCTATGAACCATGAGATCATGACTTGAACAGAAATCAGACAGTTAACCGATGGAGGCACCCAGTTGCCCCAAGAAAATAATTTTTTAAACTGGGAAGTGTTTTTTGACAATTATCCTATAATAATTAGGAAAAAAATGCTATTGACTAAGAAATGGAATGCATTTGCATTGTACTCATTCATTCATTGGCATTCTAAGTTTATTGTGTGCCTTATGAGCAAAATCTACAAGAATGATGCCTCACAGAGCTTACAGCCCAGTGAGTGTTACAAACACCAAATAATCACACAAGTGTATGATTAAAAACTAATAAGTACATCAATGGGGCACCTGGGTGGCTCAGTTGGTTGAGTGTCCGACTGCGGCTCAGATTATGATCTCGCGGTCTGTGAGATCAGGTCATGACCTCGAGCCCTGCGTCGGACTCTGTGCTGATAGCTCAGAGCCTGGAGCCTGCTTCAGATTCTGTGTCTCCCTCCCTCTCTGCCCCTCCCCCGCTCATGCTCTGTCTGTCTGTCTCTCTCTGTCAAAAATAAATAAACATTAAAAAAATTTTTTTTTAAACTAATAAGTACATCAAGAAAAATAAGGGAACTTCAGTAGCATAGTGACAAGAAACAGTTCCTCATTCTGGAAGTTGGAGGAGTCTTCCTTGAGGAAGTGAAATTTGAGTCAACATCTGAATGATGAGCAAGAGATAACTCGCTGAAGCAGAGTTGAGAGAGGACAGGCGTATAGCACTTCAGGGGCTCTTAAGAAGCCAGTGTCACTGGGGATAATACAGAGAGTAAGAGGGGCCAATTATATGGGATATTGTGGGCCATCGGTAAGAATCTGTTCTTTATCAAGAGCAAAGGGAAAACTAAGGATTTTAAATAGAGGAGAAACCTATCAGATTAGCATCTTTAAGACAGCATCTGGTGCTGTTTGGAAAATAGCTTGGACGGATGTGAAAACAGAGGCTAGAGAACGCTCAGGTAAGAATGCTACAAGGACCAGTCGTGAAATTGCAGTAGTCCAAAGTAGGATATTAATAGCTTGCACTTAGAAGGAAGATGTAGAGAAATGGACAAATCTAAAAAAAATATCTAGGAGATAAAATCAGGACTTCATAATATGGTGACTGTATGGGGTGAAATAGAGGTATATATCAAGGATGATGACTCCTAGGTTTCTGACTTGCCATGACTGGTTGGATGTCAGTGCTGTTTTCCAGGATAGGGAGCACTAGTAGGGAATAGGTTTGGAGGGGTGGGGTGGAGTCAGGAAACAGCTTCAGGCAGGGAAGATCCTGAGTTGATTTCGGGAGCTTATTGATGAAACATCCAGAGATATGAAAGGTAAAGGTCTCCTACCTTTAGAGCAAGGAAGACAAGGATGAACTAGCAGAGCTCATCACCAACAGCATTATAATACCGTGATAAATATTCCTAATGTTCATGGGATATTCTTGGTCCGGTAAAAAATTGCCTTAAATATTTAAGTCTTTCTCATTTAGTATTACTGGAAGTGATTATTGCTTAAATCTGTATGATTATTTACTCTTCATTTTTTTTTAATTTAAGGTGGTTTGTTGGAAGTGTTCTGATTACAAAGCTCAACTTGAGTATGATGGTGGAAAATTGAACAAAGTTTGTAAAGACTGTTATCAAATAATAAGTGGATTCACGGACAGTGAAGAAAAGAAGAGAAAAGGAATTTTAGAGGTATGGAATATTAAATATTGGAGAACTGAAATTTTTATGCAAGAAATGTAGAATTGTTTTTTAGCCCTAAAGAATACAAATAGCATATTTTATTATTTCTCAATTTGAAGAAGAAGCAAGATTCGTACTTTTCTCTCATCTTGCTTAATTTGGGGATCATATTCAGTTGTGTAGAAAGAAGAGGGTCAGTGCTATGTTTAGTCAACATCATTTGAGGGTGAAATACATTAATGTTGTGAAAGCAGCTATAATAAAATATTAAGAGTATGAATTGTTGTCTCTTCTGATGCCCAACATTACAGTGTATTTTTTTTTAAGTTTATTTATTTATTTTGAGAGAGAGAGATAATGTGCGGTTGGGGGAGGGGCAGAAAGAGAGGGAGAGACAGAGAACTCTAAGCAGGCTCCACACTGTCAGCACAGAGCCCAGATGCATGGCTCAAACCCATGAACTGCAAGATTGTGACCTAAGCCAAAGTCGGATGCTTAAGTGACTAAGTCACCCAGGTGCCCCTCCACTGTATTTTTTAATAGGAAAGTGTTTACCTGGTAATTTTATCATATTGGCTTCAAAAGCCACTGTCTGAAATTATTAAAATTCATATTAAACTATTACTTTATTACCTGAAAACGTCTTCCAGCTTATTGTATTAAAAATGTCATTTAGCAGCCAGTGACAGTAATCTGGTAACTGCTTTGAAATATTATTAAAATATCTAGCAAGTGAATGTGACTCATATTTTTAGAATAGTCAGAACCTCCCAAGCCTGGGCACTATGATGCAGCTTGTACCTGAAATGAGTTTCACACTCAAAGATACTAACATAAGGAATAAATTATATAATAAGGCCTTTGTGGCAGAAATTTCAAGGTATCCTGGAAAGTCTGTGAAGAATAGGCTCATGACCATAATTCTATGTATCTAAAGTCATAGACATACATAGTTTACTAAGAATTTCCATGCTTTATTAGGGATCAGTGACAGTTGGGGCACCTGGGTGGCTCCGTCAGTTAAGCATCTGACTTCAGCTCAGGTCATGATCTCACGGCTGTGAGTTAGAGCCCCACATTGGGCTCTGTGCTGACAGCTCAGAGCCTGGAGCCTGCTTTGGATTCTATGTCTCCCTCTCTCTCTGTCCATCTCCTGCTCATGTTCTCTCTCAAAAATAAATAAACATTTTAAGAATATTAAAAAAAAAAATCAATGACTGTTTATTGAGCATCTATACAGTATAAGCATACAAGGGTCATTTCTGTTAAGTGAAAAAGAATCATAAACTTCAGAGTCCATTTAAGGCTGAAAAGCTAAAAGTTTAACTCTGAATTCTTCTAGGGTATATGTGTTGCTTTTAGGCAGACCTAAATGGGGCTTTCCCTGGCGAGGAGGTGGAAAGACATGTTTCACTGGCTCCCAAGAACACAGCCTTAAGACTTTTAAACACAGCAATTGGCATAATATAATGAGTCCAATGACTTGTTTTAAGGGATGGGTTTCAGGTTGTATCTCTGAATTAAAAATCTCTAGGTAGTTTTCTCGAAAAACCTTTATTTATTTAATCAAATAAATCTATTATGTGAGGTCTATAAGTAGAAGATAGGTGTATGTGCATGTACACACACATACATGCATTTTGAAACTTGCTTCTTGCCAACTAGTGTGTTATGTGCCTTAGACCGAGAGTCAACACACTTTTCCTGTAAAGGGTCAGAGAAACTATTTTAGTCTTTGCAGGCCAAGAGGAAAACCTGAAAACATTACTTCTATAATAAGAAAGAAAACACATTTTCACAAATTTTTACTGACAAAATTCAAAATACAATAATAATGTAGTATAGTTTTTTATCATAGGGCAATAAGATTGGAATTCTTTGTAGGTAGGGGAGATAACATTTCATTTCATTGGAGTCCAAAGTTAGTGTTCCCTGTCATCAGATTGATTTTAAATTTTATCTATAAAAATCAAAAAAATCTAAACAAATTCTTAGCTCTTAGGCCATACAAAAACAGGTGGTGGGCTGGTGGGCCGTAGTTTGCCTGCTGGTGCTCCTTAAGGTATATATGATGAAGGGCCAGTTTTATTTCCAAGCCACACAACTCAATATTTTTGTAAAATACGCAATCATGTTGCTTGCATGTCATCACAAAGTCAAATTGCTCTAAAAGTTTCTAAGTGCTTATTCCTACTTTCTGTGCTTTGTCTGGAATGGGTAACAGAGCAGTTTGTGAACCGGCACTGTTCAGTGGATGGCACCGAGTAGTGCTACCCTAAGGATTTGAGCAATTGAAAATAGAAGCAAACCACTTGCTTCCCATAATGTGTATAATAAGATCTATTTAGTCAATGATTTTGTTCCCTTTTTAGCCAGTGATATATATATCAGGGGACAAAGCAGAAAACTATAAATGGGTCTTCAAAGAGTTGTTGCAATTTTAGAACCTTTTTTTTTTTTTT